GGAAACCTTTGTCTTCTTTCCTCCGGCCATGAATGAAGCAAAAAAGATGAAGAATTGTGTAAAAGAGGAGATTTTGATGTGAAAAATGTGTGTTAAAATGAGTAGAGATGAAGGATATATATAGGAAAGGGTGTGAAATTCGTTTGAAATTCAAAAAAGTGACTGTTGGGCAATAAATTCGGTGACCAACGGTTAAAAAATTTGAATTGGCAGCAGGCTTCCCAACATTGGGTGGAACTTCCCATCGATGGGAAGGTCGACACTGGAAAGCGAAGAAGAAAACAATGGCTGCCTTCCCAGCGATGTTTGCATTTGCCCGTCGATGGGAAGGTGGCTTCTGGAAAAAGAACATGGCCTTCCCAGCGATGTTAATACCGTCTCATCGCTGTTTTGGTAGATTTGAAAATCCGTTAAAGAATTTTTAAAAAAATAGTGTCAAACACCCAGCGATGGGAGGAACTTCCCATCGATGGGTTTGGAGGTTCTGAAACAAAAACATGAACTCACCCAGCGATGGGATAAACTACCCATCGATGGGTAAAGGCGTTCTGGTAATCTGTTAAAAAAAATTAAGTCAAACACCCAGCGATGGGAGAAAGTTCCCATCGATGGGTTGGGAGGTTCTGAAAATTTTTTTTTGATAAAAGTCCTTCACCCAGCGATGGGAAAAAGTACCCATCGATGGGTTAGGGTGTTCTGGAAATCCGTTAAGTATTTTTAAAAAAATTAGAGTCAATTACCCATCGATGGGAAGAAGAACCCATCGATGGGAAGAGGGGTTAAAAAAAAACTTCCCTCCCAGCGATGGTATTGCCCACCCATCGCTGGTTCCCCCTAATTTCCAGAATTCTTCACTTTGAACCGTCCCTGCAAAAAAAAAGAATAACACTTTGGTACCCAAAGTATGTCTATGGGTCCTTGGGGGTTAGTTGACCTTTATTGCCCACACACACACCCAAAATTCACACACACATACACACACACAATTAAATGATTGTTTAGGAGTTACCTTGGCCAACCCATTGTCTAGTGGTTGGCGGGTTCCAGTCTACCCAAACGGAGTGCCGATATCTCGGTGTGGTCTGTGTTGGTTCCGGTAACGGAATGTGGACTTTCTTCTTTTCGTCAAAGTAGAAGAAATAATACGGTTTCTTTTGTGCACTATCCTGTGGAGATTGTTTATGATTCGAATATCCTTTTCCAAAG